ACTTCGTAGGTGCTCTCATCCATCCTTGTGATCTCCGCATGATTGCATCAGTAGCCCAGACCACCCCAGACCGAGGGTCCCCAGCCTTTCCCACGTGCCGTGTGTCACAGGATACTCCTCTGAGCCTCATTCATAAACAGCGAGCGCTGAATAATCGGTTTCTGACGCGGCCGGCCCGGCCCGGCTCGCCGAATTATCTGGTGCAGCTCTTGGTGACACGTCTGTAACTGTCGCGGAGTAAGGAGGAATTGTAGCGGTAGTGCGCAACTTTCGCTGACTGGGCAGGTTGGGTTTCGGTCTGCACCCCACCGCACGTGTGCTGGAGAGAGGGAGGAGGAGGAGGAAAGAGTGACGATAGGCGGTGAGTGCCAATCACGTGGCCGCGCTCTGTGCCAAGAGTACCAACCGATTAAAACAAAGAGCTAACCCGCAGCAGCTGGCAGGCACCTGGAGCTCGTACGACGCAGAGTATGCAGCCGAAAGTTGATGGGAATGCAGTTGGTGCCGATTGAGTACCATCAACTACGTTGACTCAGCCTGCATCACGAGGCGCCACGTGCCCTGGTGCTGGTGACGTCACGGGGATGCTCTCCGGGGGGAGGACCTCTGACGGGGCGGTTTGTTTGGTCAGCTGTTCAGAGGCCCATATATCTGTTCACCTGTGGCCGCTCTGACTGTGCACCGCCCCGATGCATCTTAGCCATCCGTGGCGTCTTATTGCGCCCATCTTGCCTCTGTGGTCTACGTTTTGCATGATTCTTCACTCAGCCCTCCAGTCACCTATCACATCACTCATCAGTCATCACCTATCACATCCAGCGATCTCGCTCTAGCCAGTTCGCCACACCACCTTGTCACCTGACATGGTGGCACACCAAGACCAGCTCGAAGTAGACGGCCCTTGGCGGTCCGACGTATCACCCTCCGCTCAGCTGGGCCGGTGGCTGTTGGTGACGCGGCGGTGAAGGCCGTCATCCGTGAACACTCCGGTAACGGAACCTCCGGTCCCGGCGCCGCGCGCGTCGGCCGGACGTCGGCCTTCCGTGGGCCGTCGGCTGAGCGAGCGAGCGGCTCCGCTACCGTCTGGTACCGTTACCGCCGCCCTCCCCGTGGTCCTCCGCCGCTCGGGCATGCTCTCTCTCTCCTCTGCTCTCTCCTCTGTTTTCCTCTTTTGTCTGTTCTCCTCTCCTCTGTCTGTGTCATTCTCTATCTTTGTCCACGTCCTTTCGTCTTGCTGTTTTTCTCTTATCTCTACTCTCCTAATCTCTTCTCTTAATCTTTTCACTTCTCTCCTCAATCCTCATATCAATCCCATTCTTTCTTCAATCCCCTTCACCTTTTTTCTCCCTCTATATTTCTTTCCCTTTCATTCTTCCCTCCCTCCTATATCTCTCTTCCTCCCTCTCTCTCCCTATCCCTCCCTTCCTTATCTCTCACCCTTCCTTCTCCCCGACGTCCTCCCGCCGCCTCAGCCGTCGAGCCCCGGAGCCCCGCCTCTGTCCCACTCGTGCCCGATGACGTATCCCCCGGGGCGATGCAAGGTCAGCCGGCGGGTGGGCGTCGTGCCACGCTACCGGCGGGTCAGAGGAGCCACATCGATTAGCCGGCCCACTGCGACCTGTCACGGACGCCGCTGTGAAAGGGTGCGGCCGCGTTGGAGAGAGGCGCGCGATGGAGACGGTGGTAGCGGTGGAAGCGATGGCACCGTTGACGATGGTGGGGGTGATTTATTCCTGTGGTGGAGAGGATTGAAACCAGCAGTGATTAGCCGCATCGAGTGGATGATGCATCGGGTTAAATGTTGAATCGGACGGGCTGGGGTTGATCGGACAGTGTGCTCTGTGTTGATGGCGGATGACGTGCCAGATGAGATCATCAGCAACATATATTCACCAAAGGATTTACTAATGGGTGACTGACTCTCCGATAGGCTCAGGCTTGAATTAAGATCTGCCGAGGGAGATATCGTATGGGGTCGCCCATGGGTTTATTTTGTATAGGCCTAGTAGGGCCGAGGCTCAGTCGGCGCAGCTGTCTTGCAGATTCCGTCCTCGGATGGTGCTCTCCTTCCCTTATTTCGTCATATATCCTGGCCTCTGGTCCTTGGTCGTCGCCCTGCTTGTAGGTCGCTGGGTCCACGTTCCAATGTCGTCTGTCGCTGGTCGACTAGCCGCCGCCCCCGCCGCCGCCACCGCCGCCGCTGCCGCCCCCGCCTGAGCTACTGCGCCGCCAGCAGCAGGGGCCGCCTGGCACTCGGAGACAAATGGTGCAAGGTGCTCGTTCGCCAAATGACCCCGGCATAGAAGCTGGAACTAAGTTCGACCCGGGGGACAAAAGTCTCCATAGTTGCCATTATTCGGGAGATCCCGGCTAATGATGACCTTGGGGTGTTGCGTGAAGGTCATTGATGACGTCCATGGCTTTTCAGTGACAGGGTATTCTTTAGCTGTAGATCTGGGAAACTCCCGTCGTAAACTGACTCCCATGTCTGAATGCTGCCGCTAATCAGCGAGCAAACAAGTGATGGTGCTGTGAGACTCAGGTGGCTGCCAGCCATTCAGCATGGCTACATCGCTGCCAGTCGGCTGCAGATATCACTGCCTTCTCCCATCGCTTCCTCTGTGCTCTGGCCACTGTGGGCGCTGTCGCCACCAATCGTCCCTCACCGGTTCGAAGAGCGGCTCCAGTCCGGTGTCCGTCTGGTGTATCATTACCGGGACGTCAGGTGACCGCACTGACCATGGAATGCCGCTCACTAGCGGTCACTTTGGTCTTGCTTGTGAGTGGAGACTGGAGAGGCTGTTGGCTTCAGGACCGATATGGTTGGGTGATGCAGGAACGACAGTTCGGATGTCTGACTCCCGATTAAACTATGCGCTGATGCCAAGACCGGCACAAATATCGCCCAGTCGCTATTTGTGTTGTGACTAGGGCTGACGGCTGCCCCGGCACCCCCGTGGAGGTGTGGTCAGTCGGCTCATTTCGTGCCTGGTTTGTGTTTACCCGGCGAGGGCGGAGTCCGATCGATTGTTCTGCGGGGCTCGCCACGAAGCACCTCCGACGCAGGATATTGGGCAGTTAAAACTGTCAACTGACGCACGGTTCGATTGGTGCTTGGCTTGCTTTTGTCGGACGGGGAGGGAGTATTGGTCAAAGCAATGTATAAAACAACAGTCGAAACATGTGAGCCTTCTGAGCTGACGAAACTGCCGGGCTGTGTTGGCATGTGACATTTGTTGCGGCTGAAAAAGTTGCAGAGTTGCTCGCGAAATCTGGATCGATGGGACGTGGGTCAGTTAACTGCTCTATGTTGTATGAAAGTGGCATAAGTTTTTGCGTCTGTGACATTCGGAGTATGTTCCCACGGAATAATTAAAGCAATACTCGTTGCTGTAGTCGTGCGTCTTTGTCCCTCCAAATTCAGTGTCTGCTCTTTTGAACTTATTTCCTTCTTGGCCCACCCCTTAAAAAAGGCTCACCAAAGACCTAAACCCCACCACACCAGTACCACCGATCGGCGGTCGAGGACGCTAGGAATCCAGGCCAACACTGCTGACCTCCCGTCGATCAACTCTCATCCGAGCGAGCGGGTCGCGCGGATCGGGAATCCAGGTTCGAGCGGATCGCGGTCCACCGGACGCCCGCTCGGCTGGTTCTGATCAAAGACCAACTTGTAACTGTTCCTCTCGCATGGGGAAGGTGTGTGGAAAGTGCGATGGAAGAAAACAGCAGAATTCCAGGACGAATGTCAGAGGGTAGGTGAAGTCCCAACTTCCAGCGGATGGTTACAGGTTATGGGTGCCGGCGACATTTGCAGTCCGGGGTGCCCTGAAACCCCAAACGCCACCATATCCAGCGGATGGGCAGTGTCTTGGTTTGGGGCGTTCCGGCGGATCGGTTCAGTAACCTGGCTGGCGGCGGCCGAGGCTCGTCCACACTGTGGGAGCCGCGCTGATGATACGTGGGAAGTCTGATAGATTATCGGCCTGCCCGATAGCGGCTGGGCGCCGTAATAGCGGCAGCGACCTTGGTGGAGCGCCCGTTTCGGCGAGTTTGATGGAACATCCGTCACTCCGCGTCAGACCACGGCCCGGAAGTTGGCCCGCGCTCACCAGTGACGGCCGACGGCCTCGTCTCGTCCTCGTCTCGTCCATGTCTCGCGCCAGTTGATATCCTCTTCTCTCTAGCCAGCTGACACATTTTGGTGACAGACTGTGACGTCACTTGGCGATGGTATGACTCACGGACCTACCTGTCGTCAGCCCGGCCCCGAGGTTGTTTGTCACGCGCGCACAGCTGGTGAGCTCGATAACACTGTGCGCCGTCGGTGGCTGCACTGCCTCCGACAGCGATTAGGGCGGTATGCGCGCTGGCGGCGGCCGCTACCTGGGTTGAGGTGGTGAACGGATGCCACCTGTCCTTTGCCACAGTAGACAGTAGGTACTGGTCAAGGGCAGACTGAATCATTTATTTCGACAGGTCGGGTTAAACTCATGTTATCTGCGTTTAACTTCACCAGACCCCAGGTGACATCTCCTCATATGGACGAGTCAGGTCAGGTCGGTAGGTTGCCCTAGTGACATGTGTGTCACCCTAAGAGGAGACGCTGTCAGTGTCAGTTGAGTGTGTATTGCCGTTGTACTCGGCTGTTGCCAGGTATTGTGGCAGGTGGCCCGGTCATAGCGACCATTTGTGACAGACGCTGTAGGCAGATGGCTGCGGAGCGTTGGTGACTCGCCCGCTGCGTGGGTCCGTTCATTATGAGTTCCCGGCTGTGTTTGTGCTGTGCGTGTGTGCTGCGTATCAGTCTCTTCCGCTCCGCCCCTTGTATCACTCCAATATGTGACCGTTAGCTTTGCGCTGACTCTCCACCCTGCGCTGACTGGCCGTACGCTGACTGTCCACCCTGCGCTGACCGTTCACTGTGCGCTGGGTTTGGCCGTGCGCCGAGTTTAACCATCAACTGTGCGCTGACCGTCATCTTTCCTTTCGCCCGTCAGGGAGCGGTGAGGTGCCGGGCCCGGGGGCCGGACCCATCCAGCGGTCCCCAGCAGCCACCACGAGCACCGTCTACACCCGGCACAGAGGTGGGTCGCTCTCGCGTGACGGCGTACCGTGACGAGCGTGACGGCGGCCATCGGACGGCCGCGCCGCCTCTCCCGCCGAGCGCGGCACCGCGCCGTGTGGTACTCTGGCATATCGTATCGTACTCCGACGTATTGTGTCATACCTTGACGTATTGTGTCGTACTCAGGCCTACTGTGTCATACTCTGACGTGCCGTGTTTTGTCGTACTTTGGAACACCGTGTCATGTCGTGTTGTACTCTTACGTGTCGTATTCTACCCCTGACGCATCGTGGCGGCCTCAGGACATGTCAGGGCTCTGCCTTCAGGCGGGGCTGCGTCTCTCCTCTCTCCCTAGAGTACGCCGACTCCCGCACCGGAAATACCTCCGGCCGCACGTGTTTGAGGGCGGCTCGCCAGACTCCCCACCCCTCCTGTGCACCTCTCCCTTCCTGTGTTGACCTGCGGCTGATACATGGGACGATCCTGCGCGTCTCACCGCACCTACTCAGTCCCAGCGTCAGCTCAGCCACACCGCAGATACGCTCCGAGGCGCGCCGTGAGCTGGGACCGGGGCTCGGCGCCGCTCGCGTCGCCCGCTCTGTCCTGTGTGTGATGGATGGGAGACAGACGAGCGCCGTTTGGTGCCACGCTGTACGGGACTCTGGAGGAGCCGACGCGCGGAGAAATGTAATGAATAGGAATGTAGGATGAGGGAAAGGAAAATTGAATATAATTTGTTGTGTATCTGTAATTTATATTTACTCGAACTAGCTGCCTAAAATTAAAAAAAAATCGTGAATGCGTTTCGTAAAGAAGAAATGCTCGCCTCTCATGTTATATCATTCTTGATTACTCTCAGAAAATTCATTAGCCTCATTTTTCATTGATGCGTTTGTGCCATTCCGTTTGACTGTCGGCGTAGTAGCCAGTTTTCGTCGAGCTGCCCGAATTCGTCACTGTCTGCCCTGCCCAGCGCTCCCCTCCAGCACGTGTAGCGGGGTCGTCAGCCTCGGCGCGGCACGCGTAGTCGACCTCCGTGCTACCAGCCGACGGAGGCTGATGTGACCCGACAGGCCGGCGTTCTGTGCGTCTGTCATAGAGCTCGCTACCGACAGCCGCCCGCTCAGTGCTGGTCCCACCAACAAGCCGTCCGACTACTGTTTTTGTTACCGTGCTCAATGGTTTAATGGTGAACCGGAGCCAATTGGTCTGAAAACGTCTGATAAATCACCCGGCCGGTCGGTCCGTGGGTAAATATCCCGGTATGATGTGCGCCGTAACGGACTGCTTCCGGTGTGCGGCGGCTGCGGGGCCTATCGATCACGGGTCTGATCGGACTGGGCCGAGCGGGGCTGCGTGTGACGGCCCGCCTTGCCCTCCCCAGCCGGGGGAGATCCGCTCGGTCAGCTGGGTGGGCTGGTGACCGACGCTCTGAGCCACTGCCGCCCGGCCGCGGCTGGGCCGCCAGTCGCGCCGGCTCATAGACCGGAAGACGCCGGCCCTGATACCGGAAGCAGCATAAACGGCTCTGGGGTTGTGGCGTAATAATTCACAGCGCGCGCCGCGCACTGAGGGCTTACCGGGTTCATTGGGCTGCGGGCGGCGTGGGTGGAGGGGCTCGCATAGTAGCGGTGCATGTCTTTATCGGTACGTAAATGGGTGAAAATGACGGCGTATGAGTGGGTGAGCTTTCCATTTCGTTCAGAGAAGATCGTGGCGATCTCGCTGTTAAGCGTGAGACGGAAGGCGGCGGGAGTTTTTAGTGGCTGTTTTAGTGGGCTATAGAGACTGACCTCTCCCACGGTTAGAGATGCGCTCCTGTCTTATTGGTTCGAAGACACGCTGACTTTTGCCCTGCGGTACCTGGGGTCAACGTGTCGGTAAACGGTCGGCCATTACGGACATTAACCGGCCGCCGGTGACAGAACGGCGGCCAAAGAAAGCTGATGAAAGCCACTTGGCGCCGCGCTGCCGGCCCGACCCGGCCGCTCGGACGGTACCGTTACGGCAGGGGCGGTCGGCCGCTCGTTGCGTCATGATCCGATTCGGCCGCGTCGCGTGCAGCCCATTACATGCCGACAAGTGAAGTCAATTTCACAAGGAGCCTTTCATCACGATCCAATGGCAGGCATTCGAGCGGTCGACGGCGGCGGTTCAGTCACCTGGGTCGGTAGTCTGTCCCGGTCCGACCGTCTCCCGGCGCGCCGGGTCGGCTCTGTCCGTGCCGCGTCGGCCGGTATTCGGCCGACGGTTTGTGTATGTTAATTCCCCGACCTCCGGCGAGCTCCTGATAAACCCGCAGGCAGCCGACGGCCCGTCGTGGCCCGACCGGTGGAATGTCTGAGCGCATGCCGCCGGTCCGCTGGGGGTGCGGTCCGGTGCCGGCGAGCGGGCCGCTGGCGGGTCGCTATCGATTGCTCTTCCGAGGAACGGCGAGCGAGGTGCCGTGTTCACTGTTGTGTTTGTCTGTCGGCGCACAAATAGTGTTTGTCTGAGGCGCGAGACGTTACGTGATGTTTGTCGGATGGGGGCGGTGGTGCGTATTGTTTGTCTAATGCCTTTTAGTGTGCAGGGGCCAGGGGTGTTTGCACAGCCTGCTGTCGCCAGAAAAATGTCGTTTAGCTAGCACCTTGAAGATGTTTGCATGTCTCTGCTCATGCTGCTTTGATTGAGCGCGACGAGTGGTGTTTTTCAGCGTCTCGATCAATTGATGAGCCTTTTGTCATTCAATTTGCATATTTCATATTTCATGTGCGTTAGGATGTAACTAAGTTGTGTAGTTTGTTTTCCGCCATGCCATATTTGGTTGTGAACACGAAAGATCGACATTGTTTTACAGCGGGTTTGACATTTGGTTGTGTGATACCAGACACTAGCGACGACTGATAAAACATAGTATCAGCGGCGCAAAATGACCATGAAAGGACCGCACTCCTGGCCTCAATAAGCAAACCAGCTGCGGTCGGCCATGCACTTGTGCGTGTCTACTCGTGACAGCCGCTCGCCTAGCCGCTCTTTGTACCGTGCCGTCGCATTGCTGACGCTGAGCATTTAAGAAGAGTCCAATGTACGATGATTGACCGTCCGGCAGATGAGCCGTATCACCAGCAGTCGAGTCGTAACGTGCTGGAGGCGCTCACTCAGTGGTCAACGGAGTCGCAGCGCGACCAGGAGCCTCCCTCGCGAGACAGTCCCGGCGCCTGTACCCCGACAGGTACCCCGCGTGACCCTGCGTGACCCGTGTGTGACCCGTGTTACCCCGGCTGACCATCTATTCTGTCTAACCTGTCTAACCTCCTTGTTGTGCTCCCACTTCTGAGTTTCTAACTGTCCGAGTGATGCCTTCATTTGCGACTGACGACGACTTAGAGCGGCGCTGTGGGCTGCTCCGGTTCTCTTTCTAGAGCGTCAGAACAGCTCAGACTGTTCCTCTCTGCCCGGAGTGTGTTGATCACTAGCTAAACATAACACGTCTCCACTGAAGTGGCATGACGGCGGCCGTGTGCGGTGATTCATCCATCTACCCGGCTAACCGACCAGTCGTATCTAACTGTCCCTGAGCTGTGTGTGTTTGTGTGCTCACTAACGGCTCTTGTCCGTCTCGATTCCATCGTGTGCTGACACTTGCAGTGCCGTGATATGTTGTATGGATCATGGGTGGAGAACCTGCCCCGGCCACCCCGGCCGTGGCCGGGGTAACTTTCAGCCGACCCCGGCGCGGCCGGGGTAACTTTTTCCACTTTTGCAAATCCTAAAAGCTGTCTCCATACGAAAAAACTGCCATCTATAAGAGTGTCTCTCATTTTTCTTATCTACCTTGAAAAGTTCTTGAAAATGTACTTATTTTCATTTTAGAGCTTCTATGTTTTTAAGTCTTTTCATCGCGGAGCCCGACATGTTTCATCAAACAGAATTAAATCATAATTAAGGGCCGTTATCGTAAGATGGCACTGTAATAACATCACAAGACAGGACGAGGGTAATATCAGTGAGAAAGAAGGACGAGGTGCTGGGGCTCAAGGCTCCCCCAACTTAACCCGCGCCAGGGTGGTGGCCTTATCATAACACGTTGAGTCGAGAGGTGGGCTTTTCACGCTCCTTCTAACTCGGCTACTGGGCTACGAGGCGAGAAGCGGAACGACGTTTGAAAGAGCGACAAACGTGACCAGAGAAATCTGGTCATGTTTTAGGCAAGCTCAATAATAAAATCACCATAGATCATCAAAAGCCAAATTTCTCTGATTTTAGCGTTCTCCGACAACTTTTCTCACAGTTCATGAACATAACGGAGCAACACTGCAAACAAAACATTCGATTATTCGTTTAACCCTATTAGTGACAGGGGGGTTGTTTTCATCCACCCCTCAGGTTTTTCGGGAATATCTCCGAAACCGCTGAAGCTACGATGCTGAAATTTTCTGACTTTTCCTCAAACTAAATTTGGCACATTCCCTGAAAATTTCAAGTTCATAACTTTACCAGGGGCGGCTCCAGAGCACTGGGAATTGGGGGGTCCTATTCGTGAAGCGAGTCATTTGGGCGAAGATCACGATGCTGATGTATTATAACTGTATGCACCAGTTTTACGAACAGTGAATGAAAGGTATCATGTGATAACATATACAAAGTCATTGTGCATCCTCTTTTGACACGTTTTTGCTATAATAGGCGGATCCAGGCGTCCAAAAAGGGGGGTTATGTTTTACCTCCCAACATAGGTGCCCTGACACCGCCTATGCATGACCAATACAATTGTAGTCGTTCTCTCATAAGAAAATTGTAACATAACAAGACCATTACCACCCTTTTTAGAAACAGTACCAACAAAAACCTTATTTACTATACTTTTTGTGTACCCCCAATCTCAATGATCTGTATCCGCCTATGATTTTTGAAAATGCATATTTTTAGGATCCATGTGAATTCCAGGTTCATTCTCTATCGATCGGCAAAAGTTGCGTTAAGATTGGTTCAGAAACCTGGCCGTGATAAGCAGTATAAAATGTATCTGCAATTTGCCCGTTTTTACCCCCTCTACCCCCTATTGACATTTTTTTAATTTTTATTTTTTAGAAATGTATAGATCACGTTGAGCGAAATCGAATGCCGTTTGAATTTTGAAAATCGGCCCGTTAGATCTCGAGATATCAAGGGGGGGTCGTAAACAGCCCCCCCCTGCCACTAATAGGGGTAGCCAGGAGCCTGCCACTAATAGGGTTAAGGCTCGGTCGCGAATAATATTTCAGGTGCGAGCTCAACTCTATAAGAGGGTCAAAACGGTCAAATTTGACATTTTGTTTTGTGTGGGAAGGTTGCAACTTCCACGGAATAAGCTTTGCAAAGGTCATGATGGCATTTTTAGCACGATCATCCAGCAAATTTGACCTGATGACCTGACCTAGCACTAGGTGACATGCGTCCGAAATTTTAAGGCGTGTTGCAAAATTGTTGTTACAATTACGAAATCTTCCGCACCTGCGTGCAGCAGTTTTCCCTAAAAACGTACAAACGGCAGACATCCATTATTCTATGCCACAGAATAAGGGTTTGTCGATAACCGTTGACAAATATTTGAGCATCATCGTCTTTCTGACTTTCGGTCGCCGGCCGGGGTAACTTTTTCAAACATTCTCCACCCGTGGTATGGATTAATTTTGATTGACATCCTATCGCCTTCTTAACATAGCTATGAGATACTGTCCTCTTATGGCTATTGATTGTGATGGCTACTTTCCTCCTCGTTTCTAACCAGTGGGCAGTGACTACAGCTTGGTGTTTAAGCCACCCGGTTATATGTCTAACCATGGTTGCCGTGCCGTCCTAACCATCCCGCCTATCACCGGCCGTGCGCGCGCATATCTGCCTGGTTAACAATAGCCCGTCCACTGACCCGTGTGCCGCCCACCCCGGCCCACGGCTGTAAACCGGTGCCTTAGCCCAGTCTGACGGACACTGCCGGCTTCCAATCCGCCCGGGCGCCGATCTCAGGTCACTGGCCCGCCTCGTACCGCCCACGGGGTTATCAGGTCATACGGATCAGCCGCGGGCCGTCCAGCTACCGGGCGGATCTGGACAGGTGGTAGATAATAGAGATGCCACAAATTTGCAATTTCATTACCCGCCCCGCCCCGCAGCTACCCCTTGCCCAACCACAACTACCCGCAAGCTGTTTTTGGCTGAGCCGAACCCGCAAAAAACCCGCAATTTTAAAAACCTGCTTTTTCAAGAAAAAAATATAGCTGGGTCAATGCTATAGCTATATAAACCTTACTTGCTTCATTGCTGTGCAGAAACAGACAGCCAAACAAATAGTAAGGACTCTAAATTGCTATGCTAAGTCCTCAGGAAGCGCACACTGGATAGTGGAAAATGAATAATGCATCAATACATTTGAAATTCCTTTCTGAAAAAGAGTTCAGTAAAATCTTTCTCTCACCTTATCCTTCAGCATTGGCTGAGGATCAAAATTTCACTCTGGCTCCCTCTCAATGTTAGGCTTCTGGAATGATATTTCTATCAAAATGAATGTTGATATAAAAGATATGCGATTTCCAGTTAAAAATAAATAGTGACACGGTGAATAATGAGTATCCACTCGATCTACACATAAAAACAAATCATGCAAAATCGCAGCAAAAACCAGCTCAAGCTAACCACCAATGAACCACGCATTTCTGGAAACATGCGTCAGAAGCGTCACCAACAGCTGATTGCAAGGAATGCTACAGCGACTAAATTATTGCGGCCGTAGTTAGTGCGAGCTTGTTGCGAAAACACCGTTGTATAATGCATATTTATGTGCCATTCTGATAAAATTATTTTACACAAGAGCTAAAGTTTTACAATTCAGAGTTTAATCACCGGTTAAGAAATAAAGAAACAGTAAATACTAAATTAAATGTAATAATTTTATAGATGGTCTTGGTAATGTTCTCCGGCTGGTCCTCTCTCGGCATACAAATGATAAGAACGTAAAAAGATAAAAGAAATAAATGCGACCAGCTTCGTGGTTTTGTAAAATGTATAACTGCTATTTTGAGGTATTCAAAAACCAAGACAGAAAAAATGATTGTAAAATTATTGCGTCATCAATGACAGCTTTCCTTCGCCTCAGAGACCAAAATTGACGCAGTCAAATGCCAATCCTTGTCAGATTGTCGGAAGTGCGCCAGTATTGTATTGCGTTATGTTTGGGGGGAGCATTCCGGTCTAGGGGTAAGATACTTGCCTCTAGATTCGGCCATCCGGGTTCGATTCCCGGGCGATGCACGTGGCATTGCCGCTACCTGACCGCTTGGAACAGCGTGAGAGTTCCGGTTAGCACCTTGGTCCACTGGATGTGGTGCTTAACCCAAACCAACCAACCAACCGTTATGTTTGGGCCACATGGCAGTCAATATTTTGATTTTTTGTAAGGGTATTGGTGTGTTATTTTCGTAATATAGGGTGGAACAGAACATAGGATAGGTAATCAATGAATTTGCAGCAAATTATGTTTAGCTGATAGCTCTTTTTTATGCCGACCAGACGCAAATAAAGTAACATGTGGCATTTGCTCTGATTTTCAACATCTCATTTAAGTCTGCGTTCTTCCATAATGTATATCTAGTGCACACTGCACATAGACTTCAGTTCAGCTTCCTATAAGTTTGCTTTCAGGTTCTTTTATGTTTTATGGAATGCTTTCATCAGCATTTAGGTATTTATGTTTTGTCTTGTAGTTTGTTGCTTGTACCCTGGTTTGGTCATTGCTAGACTGTGGATGCTATTGCTGGTTGTTTTCAGTTTTGCATTTGAAATGTGCTTCCTTGATATATTTTTATATTTGGTTCTGTTTTAAAAGTTGTTTTGATGAATATTGTATTGTTAACCTGAGCAAATGCACTTGCCATTGTGTTTTGCACCTAAAAAAGTAAAAAAAAAAATTATAGGTTCTTAAGTCTGACCGCCAAATACCCGCCATACGATAAGTTTTGCTTCTCGAACCCGCCAAAAACCCTGCGGGTTTTGAAAACCCGCAGAAAGCGGGTTCGCGGGTTCAAAAGTGGCATCTCTAGTAGATAAGTCCGCCCAGCTAGTTGGACTGGTTTTCGCAGTGTTTCTGGGTGATACGTGGGCCTGACCAACCAGTCGAAAATCGCGAATGATGTAGTACAATGGGGTTGGGAACTCGATTTTTTAAGAATGCATGAAAATGATCAAACTATTTTCACA